AGCATATTGTTAAGGATAATTGTCATAATGTATCAATTCAAAAACTCGATCACTATAAGTAAAAATTTGAAATTGTGAAAATATGACAAGTCACTACCAATTTTTTTAGAGTGTGATTGGTCACTCAAAAATTTTATTTTTTAAATTAAACAATAAAATAGATTTAAAGTTTATTAAAAGAATAATTTTGATCTACAAAAATAAAATTGCATTAGGGAATCGGTTATACGTGGAGAAGGATTAACACTCCCACAGTGCCCATAAAATTGGTAATAATTAATCATGCCCTATTTATAACTTTGGACAAAAATGGTTTTTATAAAAAATTTAATCATAATTTCCTTCATTTTTAACAAATAAAATTATTTAAAAATCTTTATTTAGAAAAATATTGTGAAAATCTCTAAATTAAAGAAATACCTTAAAATTCTCCAACATATGAGCAGAATTTGAAGATAATCATTTCCGTCTAAGATTTAGCACAACATTTCCTTAAAAATAAAATTAATATCCTTTGAAAATAATAATTATTAGTAACTTTTCAATATCTAGGCAGAATATTAAAAATTATATTTTTTGAAAGATTATTTTAAATTTATTTATTTATTTACTTTTGAAATAAAATTTTTAAAACAATAATTATATAATTAAATAGCTAACCATAAACATCAACTAAAAATAAACATATATATAAGTAATAAATGCAAATATAGATGTAAATGTGTGTCCTAAATGATGATGAGATACAAATTTAAAATTAGGTTCTTAAATATAAAAAACCACTTGAACTCTCCAACCCATAGGTAGAGCTTGGGTGTGACTATATATATATATTTAAGATCCCATTTTTTATTTTATTCTATATTTAATTCTATTATTTTGAAACATGGAATTATATGAAAATTCTTAATGAAATAAAATTTTCTAAATACCCTATCATCTAGGCAATATTCAGAAACCAATTATTTCACAAAAGATTTTCACATAAAGTCTTGAATTTTGGGATGATCTCAAGGTTTTGAGTGGATTAAGATTTTCAAGTTTTATTTAGGATTTCAACTAAGGCTTTGAGGTTTCTCTTAGAGTTTAAGGTTTCATTTAGGGTTTTGGGTTCCACCTAAGTTTTAGTGTTTCATATAAGGTTTCCATTTGAAAAAAGTAAAGAATATTTTGCATTTTCCATAAAGAATTTCTTCTACTAAATAAAAAGATGATACATTTTTAAATGTTACTTCGTTCTTACTACCATCATTCAAAATGACTTTTTTGATATTTTGGTGTCAATCACTTCTCCATTTGAATAAAAAGTTTCTTTTACTAAATGAAAATATTGTATATTTTTAATTGTTACTTCATTCTTATTACCATCATTCAAAATGAATTTTTTGATATTTTGGTGTTGATAACTTCTCCATTTAAAAAAAGTAAAAAATATTATAAGGGATCATAATAACTCATATAATGTTTAACGTTACGTTGTCTTCATGAATAAGTTTGAACTATGATATGATCTCTTTCAAATGAAGTGTTTGAATTGTTTCCCTTAACTCATATAGTAGCAACTTAATTAACAAATGAATGATTATAATCTCATTGATTTAGATTAATATTTTTGCAATACAAATTTCAAAATCCTCAAAAAAGAAATATCATTTAATCTCTGCAACACTTGATTATAAAGATTTTCTTCTAATATTATCATTAGTATCTTTATTACTTTTGCACTTAAATTTCCATTGTCTTGTGTTCTCATTCTATTTTTGAAATTTCTTACCAATGTCATAAAAGTATAGCTAAAATAACATGAATTAATCAACAAAAATTTGAAACAATCCAAAACTGAAATTGAATATAAATAAAATTTTTCACTCATTTTAAAATTTAATTTAATTAAAAATAATAAAATATACATAATTATAAAATGAATTAACTTTATTTGATTTTAATTGATTTTAAAAAGTCAATAACTTAATAGTTATTTAAAATCTAAAACAATTGAATATAACCAAAATTTGAATTAAAATAATAACCAAAATTTGAATTGAAATAATAACCAAAATCAAAATCCAATATTAGTTATTCACCTTCTGTAACAATTTAAACTTTTTTTATTTCTGTAGTCGAATTAGTTAATTAATTTTAAGAGTATTTTTAAAGTGAAATTGCAATTATAAGTATTTGAGTATACTTCTTTTTATTTGAATTTAGGATGATTTGAATCTAGCTTTTTAAATAAAGAGAAACATGAACCAGTTATTGAGTCAAATTTGCTCAAATGCATAAGTGAATAATTGAGTACATTATGAATAGAAATAGACAATAAAACTTGACTCAATCTAATTGATAGCTGATACTAAGTTTAAAATCCAATTCAAAATTATAAAAAGTTAAAATTCAAAATGATTGAACTACTAAATACACAATTAAATAAATATTTATCAAATGAATTTTGCTAATGAATGCCTTTAAATTACTTTTAAGTTTAGTTAAATTATAATTTATAATAATTATTATTTTAGATGTAAAATGATAATTAATTTGATGAATTTCAATTTTTTTGAACAAATATTTCCTAATGTGGCAACCTTAAAAATTTTAATATAACAATGAATATTCTTCAATTGATATAAAAGAGAAAATGAATTAGTATACAATATTTCTCCAAATAAAATAGTTTCATATTAATCCTAAAAAAATTTAAAATCAATACATTTGTATATTTTCATTGAAATATCATACAACACTAACCTTCTTTGTCATATGGAGAAAATAAAGTTATGCATAACCAATCAATTTTTTATATGATTTTGTTGCTTAGAATAATCTTCCATTGGTGATTCTATTAATTGAATTTAATTGTATATTCTATCAATTGAAAGTTTAATTTTCCTTTTATTTGATATTTTTTATTTTACATAGAAATAAAAATATTAAAATACATAATTTTAAAAATAAACATACAAACTTGTTATGTAATACTTATATAATTTATAATTATTTCATTTTTAACATTAACAACATAATTTTCATGAAAAAATGTAATTTTGGCATAAGCACATTCAAAAGATAGTTTCAATAATTTTTTTCATAATTTAAAAGAATTCACCAGAAACAATTAATTTTACTTCACTTGATAATTTTTACTTATAATAATTCACATTGTGTCGTTCAACCACTTAAATGACAAAAAAGACAAATAATTTAATACAATTAGGAAAGACTAAATAATCTTAAGATATAAATTAATCATAAATATGCATTTTAAGATAAAAATTAAGAGAAAATTAAATCAATTATTGTTTTAGTCAAGGTAAATAATTCTTATATCAATTTGACATGATCAAATCCTGAGCTACTAGTAGTTCTACTACCTCCTAAATCATCTAATTTTATAGGTGTAAAGTTCAATTAAAGTGTCCAATGTGTTAATTGTTAGTGGAAGGGATGCAGTTGATTTGCATTTGATTTGATGTTAGTTCTTGTTCATGGAAATAACAATTCTAAAATTCTAAAGGAAAAAAATACAAAAGAAAAATCAAATATAAAGTTTAGACTAAACTATAAGAATGATATGTTAAAAAATTTTATTTCAATGAACTAAAAAGATTTAATTATGTTATCAATGATCAACTCATAAAACATATAAATAATAAAATCATTAACATCCATATATAGTTAATATATTAAAACAAAAAATTGAAAGGAAAAAAATAGAAACAAAAAATAAATACACTTGAATGGCTTAATTATAATTATCTTTAATGAATTTATTATCAACATATAAACTATATATACAATTGTTTTTACAACAACTAAATAAATAAACTCCATATAATTGTTTAATTCATCTATACACTAAGCTTTGATCTTATTCTATTTGTATTTTCATTTGATGTAAAAAATCATTCTACTTATAAAAAAAAAAAATCTAATAATAAAAAATTTATTTAAATTAAAATTTATAAAAAGCTGCTAACGGTATTTCAATCAACTTTTAACATTTTTTAAATTAAAATTTCATTAAGGGTATTGTAGTCAATCAATTTTAACACTTTTTAAATCTAATTATAAAAAAGAGTTTAATAATAAAAATTTTATTTAAATTAAAATTTATAAAAATATATACTAAAGATATTTTAGCCAATCACTATTAACACTTTTGGAATTAAAATCTTAAAATTTTAAGTAGTTTAATTTCACATACACTTTATTTTTAATTTTAGTTTGTTTAAATTAAATTTAAATAAATTAATAAAATTTATTTATTTAATGACAAATTTGTTAATTTAAAAATTTATAAGGGTATTTAGGTTTAACATTATTAACACTTTTGAAGTTTACACTTTCATAAATAGATAGATAGATAAATAATATATATTATATATTATATATTTTACGTATCAACACACTTTTCTTTGACCATACCTCTTTATTTTAGTGTCTAAGGCCGTTTCCCCACATATAAAATTGGGATTTTAATTTGAGGTTTTGGATCCAAATCTTGGAATGAATAAAAGGTGAGATTCATGGAGGAATAAGAGGGGACTATCTCTTATTTTACATTACATGTAAAAGTTAAATTGATGGTTGAACTAATTTTATCAAGTAAAATTTGAGCTGAAATTTTCATTCGTCTGATTATTTGATTAACAAAATGATGGATAGTGTTTTATTTCTAAATCATCAATGATAAATGTAAAGTTCTTAAATCATGGCATGATACAATTAACTATACAAATAAATTTTACTTACTTTATCAGTCAAGTTACAATTTGTTTGGCCTTAGATGCTAACAAAAATAAATAAGAAATGATAGTTACATTTTTTCCCTTTGAAAATTCTTTGCAATACGCTAAGTCATACATTTTCTCAGTGGTAGGGCTGGGAAGCACGCAGTCCACCACAATTTTCATCGCTTGGAATATTTAAGAAGACAAATCATCTTTCCAATCTATAATTCACAACTTTTCCTCTCATAACTTCCAATTCTACATAGCTTCATGGGAAACACTTGCTTTATTCCGGCCCTTATGGTGGCGCTGCTGTTGTCTAATTTTGTGGTTTCATTCTCTACGAAAACAACAACCAATATCAGCACAGACCAGTTGGCTCTTTTTGCACTAAAAGCCCATGTCATTAGTGATCCTCAAAACCTCCTGGCAACAAACTGGTCAACTACTACCTCTGTTTGCAATTGGATTCGTGTCACTTGCGGTTCTCGGCACCATAGAGTCGTAGATCTGAATCTTTTTGGCATGAATCTTTCTGGTACCATACCACCACACCTGGGAAATCTGTCTTTCCTTGCCGGACTCAACATCGGATATAACAGTTTTCATGGCTCAACATTGCCCATCGAATTGGCTAATTTGCGTCGACTGAAAGTTATTAGCTTGTCCAACAACAATTTCAACGGGGAAATCCCATCCTGGTTTGGTTCCTTCTCTCAACTTCGCTACTTGGCTTTGGATGGTAATAACTTCATGGGAGCTATCCCATCTTCTTTGTGTTCTTTGTCAAAACTAGAGGTCTTGTATTTGCATCAAAACAATCTACAAGGACAGATTCCTATGGCAATCGGAAATCTTTCTAACCTGAGATGGTTATATTTAGATAATAATCAGCTTTCAGGTTCCATACCTTTCTCGGTCTTTGGCATATCTTCATTGGTAGAGATTTTTCTTAGCTACAACCAACTAATTGGTTCAATACCCTCCATCCAACTCAACATTTCTTCACTGGAAACAATTGCTTTGACATTAAACAATCTCACTGGCCATATCCCACCAAATATGTTTGATTATCTACCAAAAATAAGAGGGCTTTATTTGAGTGAAAACCTGCTTTCTGGTAGAATTCCAATAAGTTTATTCAAGTGTCAAGAGTTAGAAGATTTGTCCTTGTCTTTTAACTATTTAGAAGGAGTTATACCGGAAGAAATTGGAAATTTGACTATGCTTAAGAGGATTGCTCTTGGACACAATGGCCTCAAAGGTAAAAGAAAACTAATAGTCAACTTTTTTTTTTTTTTTTTAACAATGACAATATCCCTTTTTAATTCATTTTTACTGTTCACTTTTTAGTTTATGTATTTTATCCTTATTTTAACTTTAATTGCTTTAATATTCTTTTCTACAAAGTATATTACTTTATGTTCGTTAAGTCTGATTTTTAACTACCAACTTTGCTAAAATATTTATTAGGAACCACTTAAGTGAACGCCATACATTATTTAATTCACAGCTAAACAAAAGCAATGAAATTTTTTATTCAAAAAATACTAGTTGATTTACTGTTCTTGCATCAACTTTTATTCAATGAAAATTTCAGTCAGCCCTATATTTCTTTACGCTTCACATGCTTTACTGCAAACAAATACTGTTTGGGCTATGTTTTATCTCTTTCTTTTCTCTTTTTCTTTTTTTTTTTTTTAAATATTGACGCACATTTTTTAATTCCCATTGTTTCTTTTTATTTAAATCCAACTAATTTCTTTCTTCATCCTCAAACTTTACTTTTAAAACCAAGTAAGTTTTCACAAAAAAAGAAGGTTTAGAAATGAATCATTCACCAAAACAATCAGGTGTACCTTTAATTTAAAATTTTTTTTTGAAGTATCTCAATCAATCATTATGGTGTACTCAGTGCTACTGTCGATATTAATTATTTCATTTTAATAGCTTTTATTCATTGTTTTATTCTTCTGCGCTTAACAGAGAAACAGGATTTATTCATGTACAAGAAAATTGAAATTTAGCTTATTAATTTTTTTCGATAACTTTGAAATGAAATAAAATTTTATTGTAAATGCAGGTAAAATTCCATTACAAATTGGTAATCTTCTGAGTTTGGAGAAATTAAGTATACCAAATTGTCACCTAACTGGGACTATTCCTTCGACTATTGGCAACTTATCATTTTTAAAATCTCTCGATTTTTCTGACAATAACTTGACAGGTAATATATGACATTATTCCCATTTGTATTATGGCTGCATTTTTTAAAAATATTTTAATATTAATATTATTGTTGCGTTTTGCATATTGTATTTCACAATCATTTTATTTTGTTGAATTAAGATATTTGACTAATTATGTTAAAAACACCAATTATTAAAAATTTCTATAAAATTAAGAAAACCAAAAGATACGTGCAAATAACATTTCCATTTTTTGATTTTTGTGACAGGTCAAATACCACTCCAATTTGGCAACCTAGCAAAATTGGAAGTCTTGTATTTGGGAATTAACAGTATCTCCGGAATCATCCCTCCTTGTATCTTTAATAGCTCAAGTGTGAGATTCATTGAACTATTAATGAACCGACTCTCAGGCTATCTTCCATCAAGCACAGGCCTTTGGCTTCCGAAGCTTGAAGTCCTTGAACTTGGACAAAATGAATTATATGGATCGATACCTCCCTCCATCTCTAATGCCTCTCGGCTTACTACTCTTAGCTTTGGAAGCAACTCTTTTTCTGGAAATATTCCCATCGATTTTGGCAATTTAAGAGATCTACAAAAACTCAGCCTAGAGAATAATAGTTTGTTCTCTTCAGAATTGACATTCCTATCCTCATTCGCAAATTCCAAACACTTGATATTCTTGGGGTTTAGTGGAAACCCATTGATCAGTGGTAAACTTCCGATTTCTATAGGAAATCTCTCTGTTGAACAATTTCACTCTTTTGGTTGCAACATTAAAGGCAGTATTCCAGGAGAAATTGGCAACATAAGCAACTTGATTAGCTTGAACCTAGATAACAATAAATTGACTGGACCAATTCCCCCTACAATCGGAAGATTACAAAAATTGCAAAGCCTTTCTCTTCAAGAGAACAAGTTAGGGGGATCCCTCCCAACTGAGCTATGCCATTTAAAGAGTTTGGGTTTCTTATATTTCGCAGATAATGAATTGGCTGGACCAATACCTGCATGTTTAGGTGATATTGTTTCTCTCAGATATCTGTTTTTGGACTCCAATAAGTTTTCCAACTCAATACCCTCAACCTTGACAAGGCTTACAGATATCTTGCGACTAAACTTATCTTCCAATTGTCTAAGTGGAGCCCTCCCAATTGACATTGGAAAGTGGAAGGTTATCACCAGTATTGATTTTTCCAAAAATCAATTATCGGGTGAAATCCCGAAAAGTGTTGGTGATCTTATGGACTTGACCTATCTCTCATTATCTGGTAACAGATTGCAAGGATCTATACCAGAATCATTTGGTGTCCTAATAGGGTTACAATTCTTGGATTTGTCAAGAAACAATTTCTCAGGAATCATTCCCAAGTCTTTAGAGAAACTCTTGTATCTTGAATATTTTAATGTCTCATTCAACAGCCTACAAGGAGAAATTCCGAACAAAGGATCGTTTGCCAACTACTCTATTCAATCTTTCATGGGAAATAAAGCACTATGTACCGCACCTCAACTGCGACTCCCACTCCCACCATGCAAGGCTAATTCTTTTGGAAAGCATTCAAGGAAAGCTATTCAGCTTGTTGAATACATTTTATTTCCAATTGGCTCAATAATATTATTACTTGCTGTGATTCTTTATTTTTTACGAAGAGGAAAAAGGAACAAAAATCTGCCAACTAATCAACAAAATATGCAAGCATTAGCAAAATGGAGAAGAGTTTCATACCAAGAGCTTCACCAGGCTACAGACGGATTTTCTGATAACAAATTACTTGGTGTGGGGAGTTTTGGATCAGTATACCAAGGTACTCTTTCAGATGGGTCGAGCATTGCAGTAAAGGTCTTTAATTTGGAGTTAGAAGGAGCATTCAAGAGTTTTGACATTGAGTGTGAGGTCTTGCGAAACATTCGCCATCGACATTTAGTCAAAATCATCAGTAGTTGTTCTAACATTGATTTTAAAGCCTTGATTCTTCAGTTCATGCCCAATGGAAGCCTAGAGAAGTGGTTGTACTCTCATAACGATTTTTTGGATATGCTCCATAGGTTGAACGTAATGATCGATGTGGCATCTGCATTAGAATATCTTCATCATGGTTATACAACACCTGTGATCCATTGCGATTTAAAACCCAGCAACATTCTTCTTGATGAAGATATGATTGCCCATTTGGGTGATTTTGGCATTGCAAAGCTATTAGGTGAACACGATTCAACAATACACACCATGACACTAGCAACGATTGGGTATATGGCACCAGGTAATACAAAATTTAAAACTTTTTTATCCTATTATGATGACTAATGTAACATCATTTTATGCTTTGATGATGATTTTGACAATTTATATGTAGAATACGGATCAGAAGGAATTGTTTCAACAAAAGGTGATGTGTACAGCTTTGGTATTCTTTTAATGGAGACCTTCACAAGAAAGAAACCCACAGATGAAATTTTTGCTGGAGAAATGAGCATAAAATATTGGGTGAAAAAGTCATTACCATCAGCTTTGATAGAGGTTGTAGATACCAATTTGTTAAATAATGAAGGAAGACAATACTCTGCGACAAGAGATTGTGCTTTATCTATTTTGCAATTAGCATTGGAATGTACAGAAGAAGTTCCAGAGGAGAGGATTGTTATGAAAGAAGTTGTTGCTAAGCTGAAGAAGATCAAAATCAAGTTTTTACATGAGTCGAATAGGCGGGCCTAATGAGGAGAACCTTCCATGTAGCTGGCCATTTTATTTGACTCCTTTGAGCTTATGGCTCTTGAGCATTGAACTATCCATAATTTTAGCTCAATTCGTTCACATATGAGTGCTTTTCCTTAATAAGTTAACTGTGTTTGTGGGCTTTTTTTTAATTGTGTGTTCGATGAACATTAAATAAGTTTGATTCAATTCCTATAAAGTTCTAATGTTGTATTTGGGTCTTTCTTTGTTTTGTTTTGATTAAAGTTTTTGCTAATTGTTTAAAAAAAAAAAGTTTTTTTTCCCTGTAGAAATTAGTTAGTGCTGGAAATCGTTGTTGTAAACTTAAAGATTTAATTTCTTTTGGAAAGGAGTTTGTCATTCTCATCTCTGCAAGAAACCAAAACCAGAGTTCCTCATAATAGTGAGAAACCATTATCAATTTTTTTATTCTCTATCTATAAAGTATTCTTTAGCTTTAGAGTCTGTCAAAAAATTGTCTTAAAAAATTTTCTCTATCTACAAATTATTTTTTTTCCTTTTTTGTAACCTTTAATTGGAAAAAATGGAACAGTACAATATGAAATTTTGAAGTTTCTATTGGAATGCCACTTTTCTAGGGTCTTTTGCCATTTTATGGTTATAATTGCATATCTTGGGTCATTGTACTCTATTATGATCACTTGTCAAATTGATATGGAAAAGCAATTAAAAAGTGATGATATTTTTGCTACATGTTCCAATTGGGAAGTGGGGAATCCTATATTAGAGAAAGAAAGATAATGGAAAGCTCACAATGAAGTAAAAATGACTAGATAAGAATTGGAAGCTCATAGTAGCTTAAAAAATATATATTAACCTTAATGACAATCAATTGGGAGGGTCACGAAGCCCATTTTCGTGCACGACTCGTTAGAAGTATTCTTCTATCAATGCATTAAAGTAAAGGAGAGTGAGGACTGGGTTGTTTGAAATTTCTTATTTTTTTTTCTCTCTCTCAAATATGCCAAATTTTCATTGATTTAAGAAAAGAGGGAAACCCATCATAAGGCAAAGAACTAAAGTGGTAAATTACCAATAATATTTTAGCTTATTGACAAAATATTATATTTGTAAATTTTACCGATTAAATTTCTGATAACCTAAATATAAAAAGTGTAGAATCTGAAATGAGAATTAAATAGGCAAAGAAAATGAGAATGCAAATAAATTAGTTAAAAATTCCTTAACTAGATCGTTGATTTTGAAGTACAAACCATAGAACTCTGATAAATTAATTGCCTTACAATTAAGTTTCTCTTTATTCCTCAAGGGAAACTCTCAATTCGTTCTGGCTCTTATGGCGGTAGTGCTGTTTCCTATTTTTGTGGTTTCCTTGTCAATGAAATCAACCACCACCAAAATCATCAGCACAGACCAACTGGATCTTCTTGCTCTAAAAGCTCATCTCAACAGTGATCTCTTAGTATTGTGAATGTTTTCTCATATTTCATCAATAAAATGCCCTATTAGAAACAATTGAATTGACAAGAGTAAAATGCAACTAATTAAACTTCTTTTTTTGGGTTAGATGGTAAAATTCGATCATATAAGTCTTGGGTCAGTCAACCACATTTCCAATCTACAAGTTGTGAATAATACAGGAAATTAATGCTGTCTTTAAGTCATATCAATGTGGCCACAATTACAGCGTATCGATCGGGCCATTAGAAAAAAAATTGGTTTCCATTTGGCCTGAAAAGGACAATTGACAGCCGAACAAAAAGGTTTTTTTTTTTTTTTTTTCTAACTTTTAATTGGAAAATGAGTAAAGTCGTTGGTCAATATTTGTTTCTTAGGGCCACTGCAATAAGTATCCCCTGCATTGACATGGGTTATTACATGGAAATTATCTTAATGGTCCTATTCTGTTCCGAGTTTTTTCTTATCATAAGGTACATTAAAATCTTAATTCCCAAAATGAGGTACTTTTATTTTTTATTTTTATAAATAACATATTTGAAGTCTATGTCATTGTCTACGTGGTCAAATTGTGAACATGGCAATCAACACCATTTTTATCGTTTTTGCTCTGCCCCTTTTTTTTCTTTTTTTTTTAATATTTTTTGCCTTTCTCCTGTAATGCTTTTCTTCTCCTCCATGCAAACAACATTGCGGAAAAGATTAACTGATGCTAGTTCGATAATACTAGAGAAACCAAAATTACCCAAGTTGCAAGAACCAGTAAATTACTTCATCAGCCTCACTTTAGTCTTTTCCTTTATTCCATAGACGACTTAATTTGTTTTCTTGGCTTGCCCCACTAATCAACTGTAATCATCATTGTCCATGACAGATGACATCTCTCACCAAAAGATGAGAAAAATTATACAATTCCTTCAAAATCTCTTCTTTTCAGCCATGGGACAATTATCATAATTCAGGTTTTTAACTACATCTCTTTTGTGGCATTCTATCAAACACCAAATTTGCGATACCCCTTTCTCCAAAAAATCCATCCAAATTCCAGTATTTTGCGAGATTAAGTTCCATTGAAATCTAAGTTTTTACACACATCCATTTCATGTATAATTTTTATCTTTTTGATATCCAATAAGACCACCGTTGCTTTAAGGAGAAATTACCAACGACCAATGAAATATCAAATATATTATTACAGAATTCATGTTAACAAAGGAACAAAAAGATTGCATCAGGTAGAGTCACTTTCTTTTTTGGATAATCGACAATTTTTTTATTGTAAAAATCCAAAGAAGCAGCAAGTCTGCTAGAAGAAATAACAACAAGAAGCAGAAAAAAGAGCACAGGCAACAATTAGCGGCTTATACCCAAGTTCTTACAAAGAGTATTTCTTTGAATACTTAAAGACTATGAGAATTAAAACAAAAATAAACCCACACATGTGCAGCAATTCGTTGAAACGGAGTCTTTAATTTGTTTGTTTGCTTCCTTGAATTTCTCTCCCTCCATTGGCGCTCTCGATGTAAGTTTGAAAAGAATAGAAGTCTAGGTTTCAAGGAAGAATTTCAAATGATAGTAAATTTTGGACGTGGGTGAAAATTTGTTAGGAATGAGGGAATCGTTTTAAATTATTTTACATTGTAACGAAAGATTAATCAATAATGGTAAATAGAAGTGGTGAGAGAAAAGAAAAGACAAGGAAAAGTAAGAAAATGAAAAAGAAAAAATAAAAAAGTAAAATTAATCCAATTTCCACGTAAACAATGTGGATGATGACATATGGTTGACATGGGTTTTAGTACTCCATTTAAAGAAAAAAGATTAAAAGTACCTTTGTTTGAGAATAAAAATTTGAATTTACACTTGTGCAGGAAAAAACTCATCCTATTCCGATGTTATTTCTGTATTCAAGAGTAAAATTTTTTACGTCTCAAAACATATTTCTTTTATCGTTGTTGTTTATTTTAATATCCAAAGGGCATATCTCAACAAACAAAATTAGTAGTTTATTTTAAGGTTTTGAATTTGAGTCTTGAGATGAATAAAAGGTGAGATTTATGGAATAAGAATAGATTATCTCTTATTGTACATTACATGTAAAAAAAAATTAAATTGATACTTGAGCTAATTTCATCAATTAAAATTCATTCGCAATCCACTATTTTTAAAAACATGTCATTTTTATTCACAATGTAAAACTTTGACATATATCAATTATCACTCACTATTAAAAAAAATCATCATCCATATATATATATATATATATATATTTCAATAACATCCAAAAAGCTAATAGAAATGTTCATGTCACTTTATTTGGCTTGATGTAAAACATCTGATATAGTTTGTTTACACTAACGTATCTTATATGTTTGTCATAACATTTAAGTTTGAGAATTTACCCATTAGACACAATAAATATGGAATTACCATAATTCTTTTTTTTCTACCAAAGTGTGATTGGTTATTTAAATAAATCTATCAAATTTAAGGTTACCATAAGCTTAAATTAAGAATTCCTAAAAAGAATATATTATAATCTACCTTAACATAACTAAATCCGATGTAGGAAAGGTTTTAACACCCCATAATATCCAAAATTGGTACAAAATTAATCACATGTTATTTTATTTAAGCTTTTAATCAAAGTTATTTTTTTTTATTAATTTCAATATTTAAACATTGAAAAAAAGATTTTAGGTTTTCACAAAAAAAAATTTTTTTCTCATCTCAAAAATATTCAAGATAAATTTTTTGTTCACTTGAAGAGGTTCTATAATCAAATTCATTAAATATCTAATGAAAATTAGATTCTAGTTCCTTTTATTTGTTTACAAAATAATGTCATACAAAATTACTATCAAAATATCATAGAAAAATCATAAATATCATGCAATAATATCATAATTAAATTATGCAAAAAATCATAATAAACCATAGAAATAAATAAAATACATGTGAAATATCATGCAAATAAATAAACTATAACTTTAAAAATTCATGTCTTTTTCCTTTTTTTTCAATAAAATAAAATCAATAAATAAAACAGAAATAATAAAAAATAAAATCAAAATAAAAAATAAAAACTAAAATAGAAAATCAAAAGCGAAAATTGAAAATTGAAACTTGAAACTTGAAAATTGAAAATTGAAAATTGAAAATAAAAAAATAAAGCCAATCTTTTCATCTAAGGTATTTTTTTAAGAAAAATAATTATATGAAACTGTTACTCCACATTAACATATATCATTTCTATTTAAATTATACAATGTAATTACATTATTGAAAAAAATCAATTATTTATAACCAAAATCGTCAATTAATAAGTATATTGGAATAAATATGTCATGTAATCACAAGTATCAATTAAAAAAAAAATTTTTTTCTGATTTGTGGGAAAAATTACAAAAAATAGAATAATTACAAAAATATAATTAAACAAAATTTTCTCATGTAAAAGATGTAGAATAGTCAATTAGTATCCAATAGAAAAATTTTTTGCTTATTTCATGAAAAGTTATATATAATATCCTCTATATATATATATATATATAAACTTT